CAGTGTGGAAAAATGCTGGTCACTTAGGCTGCCATATGTGGTACAAGCAGTGATGGTGCTAAAAACACTTTATGAGTGTTTCTTGTGTTCCTCTGGACCTCCTTAAGATGTTAACTGTTCTGAGGATACAAGTGGGGACATATATAAATACAGATGCACTTTTTTTGAAGTAAACCAATGTGTGCCAGTTCTGATTTTGTGAATGTACGTGCAACGACATTTGTGAATCTTGGCCTGCTGTTCACAAATTTGTTCAAGTACTATTATTTACTTATTTATTACAGGTACTTATATATCGCCATCAATTTACGCAGCGATATATACATATATATTACATTCACATTGATCCCTGCCTTCAAGGAGCTTACAATCTAAGGTCTCTAACTCACATTCATACATACACATGCTAGGGCCAATTTAGACATGTTCCAATTAACCTACCAGCATATCTTTGGAGTGTGGGAAGAAACTGGAATACCCAGAGGAAACCCATGCAGACACAGAGAGTACATGCAAACTTCATGCAGGTAGTTCTCACCCTCCATATCAAACCTGTTTTGGAGATGTGAAGTGGAACCTGACACGCTAATGCATATTTGGTGGACCTGTTCTGAACTGCAAAACTTCTGGGTCAAAGTACACCACGTGACCATCCAAGTCTTTATGTACACCTTAGACTTCGACCCTGCACAATTCCTCTTACATCACACTACTCTCCCTAGATGGTCATACTTTAAATCTCTGGTCATGCACATGTTGAATACAGCCAGGCTTGGTATTCTAGCATTATGGGGCTCTGCCAAGGCTCCATCTGTTTGCGAATGGCTTCATAGATTCAACACAATTGTTGAGATGGAGCAGTTGATCACCATCTTGACCACATGCTGGTCTTGCTGGTTGCATTTTCAAACCACAACAGAATACAACCACCTAATGGGCACCAACTCCTGGCACATATGTACGAGAGAAGAAGCCTCCTATTTGCATACTAGCGCTTCAATACTCTAACGTTGGAGGTCAATGATGGAGAGGCCAGGTGAGTGGAGAACTTACCCTTGTTGCCCTGCCCTCCTTATTACCCACCCCAATCCCCCTCTTCTGTCCTTTATCCCCTCTGTTCCTTCCTCCCCCCCCCCCGCCCACACTGCCTCTCTCTTCCCCCCTTTCCCTCCTCCCCCTATCCCTCCTACCACCTTTTTTTCTCTTCTGTTCTTATACTGTTCCCCTGATATGTGCGTGGCTCAGCTGGTTTTCCCATAAAGGACCACCAGCTGTATTGTCAAGTTTCCTGAAGTGTTTCTTGAGACTTATTCTGCCTTGACATCTGGGCTTCATGCAATTTACTTCCCTGGTCCCAAGACTCTGGCTCAATACCACTTATGGTACTTATGTTTATGTTTCTTGGATAGTACTCGAAATTTTTTAAAAGATGTTATATCATGCGCCTCCACTGATGTCTCAGAAACCGGCTAGGAAGATTCATGTGTATATACACTGTATATTGATGCTTCTATATACTACCAAATAGTATTATTCTTATTTTTTGTGTCACACTGTTAAGATCCCGTGGGTCTTTGGACCTTTATGTTTGTATTCTTTTCAATAAAGTATTTGCGGAATTAAAAATAAATGAAATGTGCAGAAAGTACTCAAAGAAAGGCATTTCAGTTTTTTTTAATTATGTACAAAGTAAAATATTTTTACTTAATACCCTGCAGCCATGGCTGACTGAATGGGTGTAAGTCATTTATCACTTTTAAATCACATTTAGCAGTTTGTGTTATTTATCAGCTTAACAAGTAAAGTTTGAATTGAGTGCATTCTAATAGAAACATATTACACCTAATGGCACAAAATCAATGATTGCCTAGCTAGCTAAAAAATATGATGCCTTCATCTTAACTGATGTATGAATAGGATAGAGCAGTTAATAAATACAAATAATAAAGGTAAAATGACATAACTATAATACTGATAAATAGAAAACTTCATCATTTATTTTAGTATTTCATCCAATGACAATTATTCATTTTTTTATTTCATGCATGTAATTAATTGTATTTATTGTAAATCAATTAACATAGACTGTGTCTACTCAAAATCTGAACATTTTAGCTATGGGTGCTTATTGATTGTTTTTTTTTTTTTTTATTATTATTATGTTTTGTGCACAGCTTTTACAATCTAAAGGGAGTCAGTACAGTTTCAATACAATAAAATACAAGAGGGTTAAGAGGGCCTAATAAGCTCATAAGAGCTTGCAATCTAATAGGGTGGGGCACGTAATACAAAGGGTAATAACTGTGGGTGATGAGCAGATGGAAGAGTTAAGGCTTCCCTGAAGAATTGGATTTTCAAGGATTGCCTAAAGGTGGCCAGAGTAGGAGATAGCCAGACAATTTAAGGTAGAGTTCCAGTCAGGGGTGGACTGACAACTCATGGGGCCCCCGGGCAATAGGGGATCATGGGGCCCCTATGTCCTTGCCCAAACTCAAAAAAAGCCTATGAAAAAGGTACCAGGGGCATCTCATGGGGCCCCCTACTGACCCCGGGCCCTCTGGCAGTGCCCAAGTTTCCAAATGGTCAGTCCACCCCTGGTTCCAGTAGATAGGAAAGGCTCTGGAGAAGTCCTGAAGAGAGAGCAGGAAGTCTTGGGAGGAGGGAGAGGACAGTTTGGGTGATATTTGGAGACTAGATTGGTGATGTAGCTCAGGGCAGAGTTGTGAATGGCTTTGTATGTTGTTGTTAGTATTTTGAATTAATTTGAGGGGCAATCGGAAGCTAGTGGAGGGATTGGCAGAGTCTAGTGGTTGGTAAAGTAGATGAGTTTAATTTACTGATCTTCTTTTGGATAATATTGCTTCTAGATTCTCTGACAAATATTTTCTATTGTGCTTCCATTTCCCCTTTTTAACAAGTTGCTGCCTTCTATATAATGTAAAATTGTGTTGAGCTAATCAATTGTGGTTTGACTTGCTAGAAATAGGATTCTGTGTCAATGCCACATATGCTACTACTAGCCCCTTCTACATCCAAGCCAGTCAGCAAGTGTGGTGTAGTTAGGGACATACACATTTTTGCACAGGGTCTTCCATGAAAATCCATATTAAACCCCTAGCTAGAATAAGGGTCTAGTATAGTTTTTGGGGTGACACCACACTGTTTTTTTTCTTCTGCAGGGCATTTTGCCTAATATGTTTTCAGGAGAAGGGGTGCACACTTGTCATCCCTTTCTGGCCAATCAGGCCGCATGACTAGATAAGGGTCTGGTGTGTACTGTATGTTGAGGGAGACCCCATGTAAAAAAAACAAAAACAGACATGGGCCCCCCTTTCAATCCATACTTGACCCCCTAGTTAGGGGTCTGATATTGATTTTTAAGGGGAACCCCATGCAAAACAAACAAAAAAAGTGTAGTCTTGTATGTAAAAAGAAATAAATAAAAAGCAGCATGGTATCTGCTCCAAGCATGCACCCTGGCTGCTTAGCAGTGTTCAGCTCTCTCTCCTGAACCATAACAGTCCACTTGCCCCAACATGAGAGGGTATCAATCTGAGGTGCCCTGGCTTAATATTGAGTTGTTGATGAGGGCAAAGGCCTCACTCCTACATCTCTCGTCCAGTGAATGTTACAATCTGTGGGGGTGGGCAGGGCTGCTGTTAGAAACCACAGAGTCCATATACAGTCAACCTGACAGGGCCCCCCCCCCCAAAAAAAAAAACCTGTTTACTGTGCTTCAGTTATCACAGTGAGTGATCAGGACTGATTATTTATTGTGCTCATTCAGGAAAGAAATGGACTGGTAAATATGACATGTTTTTTGGACCCTTCCCCCATTCTTCGTCCTGAAGGATCCTATTGTGTGCTTGCAGCTGTAAGTAAGAATGAGAGGAGGGAAGCTGGCAGCCCTGTGGGAGCACACAGGGGGGCCTGGGAAGCAAGGTAAAATGTATCATACGTGATTTTGCATTTTCAGGTAGGGACACACACATGCAGCCCTACCTGCGCTGTGCCTGGCTCCCTGAAGATGTCAATCACCTGGTCCCAGCCAGTGATTCATGGCCAGGACTCAATTATCAGCAGAGCAGCTGACAGGGGAGAGATCTGTGAGTGTAAATAACAGTGGGAACCTGCTGCTAAAAACCAGCAAGTTCCTTAGTAAAACACAACAAAGTACACAGTAAAAACACTCCCTATCACAGTTAACCCTTTGATCATCCCAGGTGGTAATTCCTTCCAGCCCAGTGTCATTAGTACAGTGTTAGTTCTTTTTATTAGCACTGATCACTGTATTAGTGTCACTGTACAGTAGATGTCAGTGGCAGTTAGTCAGTTCACACCCCATGCCAGTTAGTGTCAGAATGCCTGCCGCAGTACTGCTATAAGTCTCTGATCGCCACCTTTACTAGCATAAAAAATAAATAAATAAAAAATCCAGTGTATACTGTATAATGCCTTTTTTTAGACGCTATAACTTTCACACATATCAATTATTATACACTTATTGAGATTGTTTTTACAAAAGACATGTATCAGAATACATTTTGGCCTAAGTATATGAAGAAATTTTATTTTTCTTACTTTTTATTGGATATGTTTTGTAGCAAAAAGTTAAAAAATATAGCTTTTTTTTTACTTTCGGTCTTTTTTCATTTATAAAACAAAAAAATAAAAACTTCAGTGATGATCAAATACCACAAAAGAAATTTTATTTGTGTGTAACCACGCAATTTCAGTTAAAGTAGCACAGCGCTGTATAGCAAAAAATAGCCTGGTCATAGAGGAGGGTAAATCTTCCGGAGGGAAAGTGGTTAACCACTTGAGCTCTAGAAGATTTTACCCCCTTCATGATAAGGCCATTTTTTTTTTTGCAATTTGGCACTGTTCTACTAGCGATTGCGTGGTCATGCAATGCTGTACCCACACTGTAATGTGTGCTTCTTTTATTAAGGCCCCATTCACACTAAGCTGAGCATTTTTCAGGCATTTTTTTCAAGCATTTTTTTTTTTCCAGGTGTTTTGGAGAGGTTTTTTTTAGTAGATTTGTAAATATTATAGGCGTTTTTTTCAGGTGTTTTTCATTTAGTCATTTTTACTGCGGACAATAAAATTACAAATGGCTGCTGTTTGAGCTGAAAGAGCCTGATAAAATACTTGAAAATACTCTTTAAAAATGCTCATCCCCACTGTTCAGGCGTTTTCCATTCAAGTCTATGGGGACAAAACACTCAGATCTGCCAGGGTTCTGAGACCCCGTTCACATTTGAACATTTTTCAGCTCTAAACTCAATGCTCAGAAACACTCAACAAGTAAAATCCCATTATTTTCAATTGCCCCTGTTCACATTTGAGTGTTCTGTCTCCTGTAGCAAAACACCTATCACTCAAAAAAGTACTTGTGCTACTTTGCAGGCAGATCTTAGCATTTTGTCCCCATAGACTTGAATGGAAAAGTCCTGAACAGTGGGAATGATCAGTTTTTCAAGTGTTTTTCTAGTGTTTTTTTTTCAAGTGTTTTCAGCTCGAATAATAGCTGTTTATATTGGCCACAGTAAAAATGCAAAATGAAAAACGCCTGAAAAAAAAACCTGTACTATTTGCAAACCTGCTAAAAAAAAGTGCTCAAAAACTCCTATTTTGCAGACATGAGAAACTGACAGATCACTCCCTTGGTTCAGAACTCAAGAGACAAGAGCTCTTGAGCAGATCACAGTCATGAATCATTGGCCAGGACTTGCTGACAGGCTCCCGCTGTGTGCAATCGCAGTAGGCGCCGGGCAGGAGGCAGACATACCGGAAGTAGGTGGCAACATACCTCTATGTCACTTTCCCTTAGCAGCTGCACTGTACTGTGGGAGGGCGGCAAGTGGTTAAGCAGCAATAGCTTTTTTTTTTAATACCATTTTTGCTGGAGTACATTGGGTGTACCACTTCATGTGCAGGTTTAAAACATCTCTCAAGCATGTTATTTAAAGGTACTGTGCATTTTTAATGTGGCATTTAAGGCTTATTAAAATATCTGCTCCCCACTGAATTTTTATTTTTCATGTCCCATTATTGCCGTGCCCAGCTACCCATGACATTTTTACCATTTTAGGGCACTAAAGAATACCTGCAAATGTCAGCCTTGAGGGATGGTGTGTCCCCCTGGGAGGTGCAGGAAGATGATGGCGTTGAGGTCTCCTGGGCCTTGCACACATCACACATCAGTCACAAGAACTTGAAGGCCTCAGCACTATTCGTGAAGGTGCACACTGCAATCCCAGTAACCTTGTTTGAGTAGGGCTCCAGCTTCTGCTTTAGTCTGGGGGGAAGTCAGGAAGACACACACATTGACACAGGTCAGGTCAGTCAGAGTCTGATGGGAGACTACCTGGGGCTAGGCCTGGCTGCATTGGCCTAAAAAAATGTTTTAACACCTCAGTTAGACCTCCCTTTCTGGTGGTGGTGGTACTACAGCTGTTTTTTGCTTGTCTGCCACGGGTTGCAGAGCTGCAATAGAGAGCAGATGCATGCATCCCTGCTGCCACTGGGAAAGGCTCTGTACAAGAACCCTAAAATGCTTCCTCATAGTGATGCATTTTGGCTTCCTTCTTTTCTGGTGGGATGTGTTCTGTCATTTTGGCCTTGTAGTGTGGATCTAAAAGGGAGGCAACCCTGTAATGATCAGTATTTTTGATATGAACTATATGAGGGTCATTCTGTAAGCACAGAAAGTTACAAGACAGCCTGCCTAACATTGAAGACCCAGATTCCTTTGGGTCAGGAACACAACAATGTCCTCTGATTATTCCCAGCATCCACAGACCATTGTCTGTGGACCAATGTAACAGACCATTGTTACAGACCATTGATTATTTCTCCCCGTCCTGCTCTTCTCCTGTGCCAGCACAAACCTCCTCTTCCCACATCTGTGTCCCAAGGATGGAGATGTGATAGAATGGAAGTCTTGCCTATTTGCTCATCTATTTTTTAGTCAAAGCCTCTCGCCACCAATGTTCTGCACTGTTCAGCTGATATTGATTTTGGGAGAAGCCCATCCTCTTTCTCCTATGAAGCCCTTCCTTTTTCTCCTTTTGGCCTTCCTCACCCTATGACTCTATACCCCTGTCCCTGAGCCAAAAAATTCCAGCAAATATTGGACAACTGGGTTCATCATGGGGCCTAAGGAAGGTACGTGTGTGTGCTTTCCCAGATGAAGGGCTACTAATGTGTTTGGCACATTGTTACACATGACCTTGCCTGTCTTGACCTAGGTAAACAAGTTTAACACCACTTAGCTTGCAAAAAGTATACCTTATGGTACCACTCCAAGCTATGGATAGAAGAAAAAGGATCACCCCACAGACAAGTGAGAAGAGGGGAGCATGGGTCCGAGCAATTCCAGTGTCCGCCAATACAAGTTAAGGGATGGAAACAACCAAGGAGTCCAATGTTGAGAAATGGTCTCATCCACTATTCTGGCCACGCCCTCTACCACTTAGTTTGTGCATTGCTTTATACTCTTTTGTGCTTGGGAGGTCCAAATGGTGGTGTTGATAATGTAAAGGGTGTGTCCTTGGAAAAAGGATCCAGAGAGGAGGACAAGGAGGAGGGGGCAGGGGTGGAATAGGATGAAAGGTATAGAAGGCAAATGTGGCCAAATCTCCCCCAACCCTCGTGGTGGTACCACAAATTCAATAGGTTTACTCCTCATAACGTGCTGCCTATCCACAACTAGGTTTAACTACTTTGTGGTAAAGATATGCACCACCTCTGCCCATGCCTACTGGCCCACATATTTGAGATCAGGTGCATCCTGCCATTGACAGTTTGCTGCAATGACAGGCTCTCTATTCGGGTTCATGTAGGGCAGATTAAAGGTTTTTGGGAAAAATACTGGTGACAGGGAATGGAGTACTGAGGGGACAGTATAGATCACATGGTGATGGAAGCAGGCTGTGTCCACTAATTTTAGTTCAACAGTTGTAGCACTAGAAGTAATGCAAGGTTAGTGATGAGGCACTGGAGTGGCTAGGGGTGAGCTTCTTTCACTCCAAAACCTACAAGATGGAAGTTTAGCCATTAACAGCAATACAGAAGCTTTTGGAGTGCAGTGAGGTGGTGGGGAGGGTTATGGCTCCACTTCCAGCCTGTGCCTCCCTCTCCTGGCTTTGCCACAGCCATTTATTACTGCTGATGGTAGAGAAAGCTAAGATCCTACTAAACTATTTCTCCCCCCTAGGATTCTATGTCCTTGCTTGTCTCCTGCCAGCCTGGCCCCGATAGTGAAACGCGACCACTCACCTGGTACTAGGGCTCTTTTTGTTTCCCGTGCTGAATGTAACAGATGAGGAGGAGATTCAGAGGCCCAGAGGTGAGGCCTGGACAGTGAGGCGAGAGCAAGCGGCTGCATGACCCTGATCACTCACAACCGCTCCCACATGTGGCCCAGTTCAGCCAATCACAGGGCTCCCATTGCTGAGCTCAAACAGCCAGAGTTTGCTAATAGATGGCGAGTGGTCGTCTGACTCAGGAGGCGGAGCACAGCCAGTGCAACTTACAAGGAATGATAGGCTGAGGCTCACAATGACAGCACAGGCAGGAGTTGAAATGGCAGGCACAGCGGAAGTTGAGACTTTTATGCTAACGCCCTGGCTACCACCCCACGCTACAGCACTGACTTCAATATTGGGTGCTTTTACTCCCTTCCTGCCCAGGCCAGTTTTCAGTGCTATTGCACTTTGAATGACAATTGAGTGGAAATGCAACACTATACCCATATAACATTTTTATGATTTTTTCACACAAACAGGGATTTCTTTTGGTGGTATTTAATCACTGTGTTTTTAATTTTTTTGGTAATTAAACAAAATTTTGCAAATAAATTATCTTTCTTCATAAATTTAGGCCAGAATGTATTCTACTATTCTACATTTCTTTGGTGAAAATAACTTAAATCAGTGTTTATTATTGAGTTTGTATGAAAGTTATATAGAGTCCACAAACTATCATATGAAAATCAATCCTGTCGAGGCCCAAAAATGTCAGGACAGCAGGGCTGCTGTTAGAAATCACAGGGCCCTGTACAGCCCCCCCCCCCCCCCCCCCCCCCAAAAAAAAATATAAAAATTATATTTTTACTAAAAAAACACTAAAATCGTTATTAGCAGAAACAAACATAGAGTAACTTACAAAATTCTTGCCGAATCAGTTGAACAGCTCAACAAATTTGGCTTTAAAATTGAAGGAATTGGATGGAAAATTATAAGCAAAACAATCAGATGTATCATAGCGTCAGATACAGTCACTGTCTGGGTATTCAGACAGCCACGGCTGCCGTTGTCCAAACACAATAGCCAGAGGAGATTCTGTCTTCTGTTTTGTGTGGACGGGGTAATAGGGGACCATACACTGACCCCCAATGTAACTGATGTCAACACAACAGGAGTATTTACACCAACCCCCAATGTAAGGGAGATCTTTACACTGACCAGCAATGCAACAGGTGTATTTACAGTGACCTCCCCCATCTCTCTGCTCATCTCGGCTTTCTTATCTCCCGTTCAGTTCACCTTTGCATCCCAAATCCCCCTGCTACCTTCTGCACCCCAGCCCTCCACTCTACTAACTTCTACACCCCCCCCCCAGATCTCTGCCTGCTAACCTCTGCACTCCAAACCACTTTCTCTTCAGCTCTGCTCCCAAAATCCTCCTCTACTAGCCTCTGTCCCCCAAACCCCTCCTCTAATAACCTATGCCTAAACCCCTCCTCTACTAACCTCTGCACCCCAAATACCACCTCTGCTAACCTCTGTCTCCCAAACCCCTATTTTTCTAATCTCTGCACCCCAAATCCCACCTTTTCTAACTTTTGCCCCCCAAACCCCTCCTTTACTAACCTTTGCACCCCAAATCCCTCCACTGGTAACCTCTGTCCCCAACCCACTCCTCTACTAACCTCTGCACCCCAAATCCCACCTCTGCTAATCTCTGCACTCCAACTCTCCCCCCTTCCCTGTTTACCTCTACATGCCCCCTATGCTTACATTGTCATACTAAACCCTCCTCTGCTAACCTTTGTACCCTAAATAAT